ATGAATCTCAAATACACATCAGGGTCAAAACCTATACTCCATATAATAAATCGAAGAAAAAAAAGATAGGGCGTTTTTAAAAGTACGAACATGCATCTCTGGGGCCAGTTATAGGCCATTTGGGGTCCATCAGAGGAGACGGGAGACTAAAGGTCCGGGTCCGCTCTGCTCCCTCCTGCAGGACAGCATCCAGTCCCCCGTCCTGCCCGAGCTCTCGGACTCCTACTTTCTGGAGGAGTGGGAGCGTCTCCAGACGAACTGCGCGGAGCTGGATCGCCAGAGGAGGACTTTTGAAAGAGAGCGGCAGGCGTTTACAGACGCCGCCATCCGACTGAGTCACGAGGTAAAAAACACCTCCAGCTCAAACTGCACCAGATTATTAACCCCATTCTTTAGTTGGAAGCCTGAGAATAAACCAGAGAAGATGAGCAGCCTCTAGCTGCAGCCTGCAGGAGCCTCGGTTGGATATCCAACTCCTCCCACATCCAAGTTGGCCATTTTGATTAGGTCATGTGACTAGCAGCTTTCTGAGGTGGAAACGAAACTTTACTGTCTATACGAAATCAGAGGAAAAACAATGTCTTAACCCTAAACCTAACCCTGACCCTAATCCTAACCGTAAACCTAACCTTGACCATAAACCTAACTTTGACCCTAACCCTGATCCTAACCCTAACCCTCCACCCATCATAATTGTGAGAAATAAATATTTCTTGGTTAAATTAGTTTGGACTTATTGTACAAACCTATTTAACATTCACTATTTTAACATAATATTATGTATAGAGTTTAATTCAGTGTTTGCAAGATTCATTTAACTATTTTTAAATGAATGTCTATATTGCCATGAAGCAATTAGGATTTCCTTGCCTGGGATCTTCCTGTTGGTGACCTCATCAAAATGGCCGAATTGGATGTGGGGGGAGTTGGATATCCATCCTTGGCTGTAGCCAGATGTAGTTGGAGTGGATGTGTCTGCCTTTATTTCTGGTCTAACCCTAACCCACAGCGGCGGGACTGGGAGCAGCAGAAGGCGTCTCTGGTGAGGCTGCAGTACCTCCGCGACTCCCCCAGTGAGTCCGCTTCTGTTTTCACCCTAGAAACACTTCCACTAAAGTCCTAAAACAGGTGTAACTCCAGATCTCCCTCATGTTAGAATTAGGCTATAATTACTCACCTTAGCATAGTATGCTATCACATGATCTATGTAAATTACTGATTGTTTTATTCCTTTAAGAATTATATTTTTGTGTTAAAGTCTCTGGCTGTGTCCACAGACTCTCTTTTCTCTCTTTTCCTCTCTCTGTTGCATTAGATCCATTATTAGGTCAACACACACACACACACACACACCATTTGTTACCACATTCCTGTCATCTGCATGAATTAGGACCTGGCCTGTTCGTGCCCAGAGGTAACTGGCCAATAGGACTTGGTTGTGTCCAGTCCTCCTTTGAGGAGGCGGATGGAGCCCAGGAGATAATGCCCATCACACCCAGCACATCTCAGCAAGTCCGTCTGCAGGAGGCCAAGGATGGATATCCAACTCTGCCCACATCCAAGTCGTCCATTTTGATTAGGTCACCAATAGGAAGATCCCAGGCAAAAAAAAAACTAATTGCTTCATGGTAATATAGACATTAATTTAAAAATAGATAAATTAATTTAGCAAACACTGAATTAAACTCTATACATAATATTATGTTAAAATAGTGGATGTTAAATAGGTTTGTACAATAACTCCAAACAAATTTGACCAAAAAAATCTATGTTTCTCACAATTATGAAGGGTTAGGTTTAGGGTTAAAGTTAGGGTTAGGACATAGTTTGTCTTCCGATTTCGTATGGACGGCAAAGTTTCGTTTCCACCTCAGAAAGCTGCTAGTCACGTGACCTAATCAAAATGTCCGACTTGGATGTGGGAGGAGTTGGATATCCAGCCGAGGCTCCTACAGGCTGCAGCCAGAGGCTGCTCCCTCTCAGGGCTCTTCAGAGCTGATATTCTTTGCCTGTGACCTGATCTCCTCTGGTTTATTCTCAGGTTTCCGGCTAAAGAACCGGGCTAGCCCTCATCTGGGTCCTGCCGACGTTTCCGGATGTCTGCCCATCACTCCGTCGTCCTCCGGGTCGGGAAGGGCCGCCACCCCCAGCACCCCGGAGCTGTACTCCGCCCTCAGCCTATCCACGTTAGCCCCCCCACACACTCGCTATGCTAAAAAAAACTCTGCTAAATGTCACAGATTGATCTGGTTTTAGAGCCAGATCCTGGCTCCTAACTAGCTTATTGACTGCCAGCCATTTTCAGAACAGAGTCCCATACTGCCAGAGTTTTTTGAGCATTTTGACTGATTTTTCAAGAGCCACAGAATAGTTTGTGCTATGACTATGTAAACACCGAACACACCAAAAGAAAGAGTAGACTCTCTTCTTTCATCAGGAAAATTTTTTTGTTTCTACCTTATTCCGTTCTTCCTCGACTTGCGTCTCACCGGCGACATGTTCTCTCATAGCGAACCGTTACCTTTTTCCTATTTGCCTACAGTCTATGCTCATCTCCCATCAAAAGTGGCACTGCCCCCTAGAGGTTCAATTTGTTACTACATACTCTGTCTGGAAGCAGATATTTACGGAAAAACTTTAGCCGATCATTCCCATAGCAACTCGCGTTGAAAAACATAAGACGTCTATAGACGTCTTTGGCAGCCAATGAGCTAGGGATGGGACGGTTTCTGAAAACCGTTCGAACCGTTGGGTTGGACTGTCTCGGTTCGGTTCGCGTGTGTTGCGTTCGGTTCATGCTGCTCCTTTTTATCAGAGGGAAGCGTTTACACTCCAGAGCAGAAGGGGGCGCTACAGCACCCAAAGCCAACCACCAGTAGGAAACAAGAAGAAGAAGAGAAGCAGCGTAGCCAACAGCAGTTTCTAGGTCTGCTGTGTGGGACCACTTTGCATTTAGAGTGAAGCACATGTTGGAATTAGCACTGTTTCCTCTCTTGCAATACAATAATCTCACCTACTTTTAACCTAAGACTGTCACAATGATGTATCAAATGTCAGACTGCTTTTTTCTTTCAGTTTTAACCTGACTATACAAGACATAATAGAATTTCCTAACAATCAACATACAGGACTGTCTCAGAAAATTAGAATATTGTGATAAAGTTCTTTATTTTCTGTAATGCAATTAAAAAACATGAAATGTCATACATTCTGGATTCATTACAAATCAACTGAAATATCGCAAGCCTTTTATTGTTTTAATATCGCTGATTATGGCTTACAGCTTAAGAAACCCAAATATCCTATCTCAAAATATTAGAATATCGGATTTTGGAGTTTTCTTCAGCTGTACGCCATAATCAGCTATATTAAAACAATAAAAGGCTTGCGATATTTCAGTTGATTTGTAATGTATTCAGAATGTATGACATTTCATGATTTTTAATTGCATTACAGAAAATGAAGAACTTTATCACAATATTCAAATTTTCTGAGACACGAAACTATGCCTAAACCTGAACCGTGAAGACGTAAAAGTGAATCGAACCGAACCGTAAATTTTGTGAACCGTCCCACCGCTACTCCTAACCCGTCTCCTGCTGCTCCCCTATAGGTCCAGAGACGCAGACCCTCCTCTGAACACCTGGGATGGAGGCGTGCGCACGAGAGCGTGCACACCGTGGGCTCGACATTTGGACTGCTCATTTGAACAGTATTAGTGGAAAAATGTAACTTGTTCCCCCATTTTTTTAACATAATAAAGACTGGTTTATGCTCCGTGGAGGTCTCCAAACACTCTGTCTGGATCTTTAATTATCGTAAACGTTGTGTCTAACTTTGTAAGTTGCTTTGGGTAAAAGCTTCTTGTCACGTCTCGGGGAATGTCTGGTGTCTCGTCTTGTCTTGATTACCTATTGTGTTCACCTGGGGTTCCCCTCCCTCATGTGTTTAAATAGTCCTCGTTTCCCCTGTCCTGTGCCAGTGTGTTTTTGTCTTTTCGTCACCCTTCACCACGTAAGGTTTGATTTTTGTCACAGCCATGCCATAGTTTTGTTAATCTTGATTTGATACTTTGCCATAGCCTTATTTACTTTATTTGATACTTTTTTCATAGTCTGGTTAATCTTCATTTGATACTTTGTTTATAGTTTTGTCACAGCCTTGTTTTGAACCATGTCTTCCATCCTCTCCTTTTGAGTGTGTTTTTGTTAAAATAAAACCCTTCGAACTTCATATCTCCGCACTTGAGTCCTCCCTGAGATCCATCCCCCTGACACTTCTGTTAAATGCATAAAGATAAACAAACATTATGAGGTTAAGTTAAGCTCTCTTAGTGCAAAAGTTTGCCGCCAAAATGGGGGACTCAGCATTTAACAGACCAGATTAATTAAAGTGTACCAACACTGAAAACATCTCCTTTGAATCCCCTTTGTAACGTTTGATTTCTGTCTTAAGGGCAGACTTAAAAAATCAGCACGTGGCAACTTCAGACCCTAAAGTGCCTTCACACTTATTGATCTGTTTAAACTGATCCGGGGTCTGTTGGGCTGGACCTCAGGTGTATTTCAGAATTGGGAAACAAATCGATCACTTTAAATATCAGTCTCAATCTGCCTTCTGTCCACGAGACACCTGGCAGTTCCGGCACGCGCCGCGTAATTTGTGATTGGCGGCCACGGGGACCTGCACGCGTTGCGCACGAGCTCCTGCGATTGGCTGCCCGCCCTCCAGGCGCGTGCCTTTGCCTTTGACCAGCACTTGTGCCTAATTACCAATCACAACCTTCTGCGCGCAGCACGCGCGACTCTCCGCGTGCCTCGGCGTCTCTTAGGGGGAAAAAGCGTCTTTCCACCGGCAGACCGCGCGCACGCGACCCGGCTCTGAGGGCCCAGCACGAGCGTTATGTTGTGGGGGCTCCGTCAGCACGTGCCGCGCTTCATGGAGCCGAACAGCAGGAGTTTCCAGCCCTGGCGGGACTACATGGGGCTCGCGGACACGGTGAGGGACATCCTGGGCCTGGAGGCGGCCGCCGAGCACCAGCTCCACGCGCGCAAAGCCCAGCACGCGCTCTCCGGTGACCCGGGGAGAGCTCCGGTGTCCGTGCGCGTTCACGCGGGCCTTCAGAAGGACCTGGGAGAGTTTAGGACACCGGGCGTGGATCCCCGGGCGCGTGACCGCGAAAACCCCGCGCGCAACAACGGTGCCAAAGACGCACCGGGAGACGATACCAAACCGGGAGAAGAGGCCAAACCGGTACCGGGGGGGTCCCGGGGGGGGGAGAGGGAGCACCGGAGGGGGGGTCGCCACCACGAGCCCGCGCCCCACCCCCCCCAAACCCCGCGGGAGCGCGCGTTCTGCAGCTTCTGCAAGCACAACGGGGAGTCCGAGCTGGTGTTCGCCTCCCACCGGCTGAAGGCCGCCACCGGGGAGGTGCTGTGCCCGTACCTGCGGCAGTACGTGTGCCCGCTGTGCGGGGCCACGGGGCCCGGGGCCCACACCAAGCGCTTCTGCCCGCGCGTGGACAGCGCCTACAGCTCCGTGTACGCCAAGTCCAGACGCTGAAAGTCCAGAAGGTCCAGTCCTTAAACCGCCTGGACTCTACCCCCCCCACTCCAGCCAGCAGCCCTTTTTTACCGAGTGTAGTATTGATAGTAATGTTTTTTTTTCGTCTTATTTTGTGTGGTGTTTGCTTTTGTTTGCATGCTTTAATTGGCTCCTTTTCTGAAACTGACTGGCGTTTTCCAGCTGCTCTTTTTCACAGTCTGCTGTGGTGTGTGTTTTATTTAAGTTTTTAATATTATTCTTTTCAAAATACTTTAAATAACGACTGCCAGAAAATGTGTTTGGGAGGTGGGAGTAAACATACTTTTAAAGCCACTGAGTTGATTCCAGTGGAACATCCTGGAAATGCATTGAAGGACAATCATCAAACCCCTTTGGAAGACTTCAGTAATAACTTTAACAGCACGTGAGCATCATGTGACCATTTTAATCTTTTGATATCAGCGACTTTCTCTCGGTGTGAGGCATTGCTTATTTTTATTTTTCTTATTTTGAAAAGCCATTCCTCTGCTCTATATGGGGAAAAAAAAATCTGAAGATTTCTGTGTAAATATTTTTGTGTGCTTAAAATATAAATGTTTGTTCTGGCCGAACTCTGATAGCCTGTGTTTTTATTATAAATCAACACATTCTGAACACACATTAAACACACAAAGCTTCATTCAGAAACAGTCAGAAAAACTCAGCTAACCAATCAAATGCAACCGGAAGAGGAAAAAACAGCAAACAAATATTTCACCGTGTTAGTTTCCCCTTTTTTTAAACCCTCAACAGTGAGAAATGGCAGCCGGTCCTTAGCGTATGGAGCTCCAGGAGGTTTTCCTGGAGGATTTGCTGGTTCTCCGCAGGTTCTCCAGCTCTCTGTGAGCCACCATGACGGTCCGACTGGGAAAAGAAGGGTTCGGCTTTAAAAACGTGCACAGAAAGGCTGCAGGTTTTTAACGGTTTGGTGTTTAGAGCTGTAAGACAGGAGATAGACTGGAACTCTTCCATGATGAAAATAGTTTGATTTAATTGAATTCTGAATTGATTGAACATTTGAAGGGAATGTCAGACAATCTATTTTATTTATTTATTTGTCAGGAAATCTGTTGTTCTTTTCTCGAAGTTCCCAAATAAGAACATGATTCGAGGGGAAACATGAAACATGGCTGCAGATAAACACCAAAATTCAGGGAGCAGCCTGTAAGAGCCTCGGCTGGATATCCAACTCCTCCTACATCCAAGTCGGCCATTTTGATTAGGTCATGTGACTAGAAGCTTTCTCAGGTGGAAACGAAACTTTACTGTCTATATGAAATCGGAAGACAAACGATGTCCTAACCCTAACCCTAACCCTAACCCTCCACCCTTCATAATTGTGAGAAATTAATATTTTTTGGTTAAACTTGTTTGGACTTATTGTACAAACCTATTTAACATCCACTATTTTAACATAATATTATGTATAGAGTTTAATTCAGTGTTTGCAAGATGAGTTTCACTATTTTTAAATTAATGTCTATATTACCATGAAGCAATTAGGATTTTCTTGCCTGGGATCTTCCTATTGGTCACCTAATCAAAATGGCCGACTTGGATGTGGGCGGAGTTTGATATCCATCCTTGGCTTCCTGCAGTCTGCAGCCAGACGGACTCGGGTAAGAGGGCGAATTTTGAATTTGAAGGATGGGCAATAAAAATGGAAACGGGGTAAAGGTAGATAGAAAAGGAAAAGTAAAGGAAAGTAAAACGTTGGGCACTGACTTCAGAGAGGAGAGTTCTCTGATGAGTCCACAGATCAGCTCAGAGGCGTCTTCCAGGCCCTGGTGGGAGGTGGCCGCTTCCTGTTTCTGGACAACCTCCTGCTCACTGCAAGAGACGGAGATTGATTAATTAATTGATTGAATACTTTATTGATCTCAAAGGAGAAATTAACTTCCAGCACAACCTTTACCAAGATCATACAAACAAAAACACACGGCACAAGATGCTGACAGATAGGAGCTGGTAAAGCTGGTTATTCCAGAGAGGGCTTAAAAATGGTGACTTGGAAGCCAGGAAATGGAGCTGAAGCTGATATAGGGCTTTGAAACGTTTCCAACAACATAATCTGGCTGGAAGCACCTGCAGTTTGACGGTTAAAGATGAGTTTTTTCTGTCAGCTTTTTGGAAACGTGCTACTGTTTCGAATGAAAAATATAATTACTTTTTTTTTTTTTCTATATTTCTTATTGCAACTATTAATTTATTCTATTTTATTTATTTTATTTAAATAATTCCACTCTGGGATTATTAAAGTATTTCTGATTCTGATTCCGATTTCCAGTCATCCCAATTAAATGTGTTTAACGGTGGACTTGAATGGGGAATTTCTTATTTATTTCTCCCTAAAATAGCTGGTTCCTCTCCCATTAGTGTCAGATTTCTTTGGGTCCATTTCTCACTTGAGATCGATGGTGTTCAGCTGGGAGTCTGACACGTAATCTAACCATCCGGGTCCGTGAGAGTCGTCCTGGTTTCCGGTCAGAGCGGGTTCTTCCGATTTTTCTCCCTGTGAGCAACAAACAGAAATCCCATTTCTAAACACATTACACAGCTTTGAAACTTCGAACCGATTTCCTATTTGTATATTCTGCTCTTTTCATTTCAAACTCTGGTCCTCAAGCATGGCTGCCTGCAGCTTTTAGAGGCTTCTCTGTTTCTGCTTAGCAGATTCTGGTTAATTTGGTCACTTCAAAGCATTTCTGAGCTAAAGGGGCACTGATGTGAATTAAGCCGAGAAAACAGCTAAAACCTGCAGGACATTAGAGAGCAGGAGTTTGTTTCCTGGGTTTAAGTTCATGCTGGTAAAAAGGAGAAAGAACTGAGCTGAGAAATTCTGTCCAAAGTCCAAACGTTTCCAAACAATTGATAACAAATCTTTAAAAAAAACTGGCTTAAACCAATAAACCCATCTGAATAACTTTATTTGTCACTCTAAAATCATCTGTTTTTGTCTGTTTTTTTCTATAAAACAGATTTTTTTTAGCATCAACTTCCAGTTTTTCTGCTGATTTCAAGCTGTTTTGAAGCATCGGATCCAAAACAAAAGAAACAACTTTGAGCTTTCCAAATGTCTTTGATGGTGTCAGCAAAAACCAAAAAAGCGCCACAAAACTGGCGTGGACGCCAGGAGACATCACCATGGAAACCTCAAAGATCCAGACAGACACCAGTCTTTATCTGCTTCGTCAGCAGGATTAAGAAATACTCATTTAAAGAGCTGCAGACTGTTGGTTGGAGGTGTGGTTATTAACTATAGACACCACAAATAATATGACTTAACTCAAACTCTGCATTTAAATGATTAGAAAATCTGTGTTGAACAGAGAGGGACCTGATTCTTTGGTTGTAAACCTGAGAATAAACCAGAGTGGATCAAAAGTATAAAAATTACATTTATTGGACACAGTTAAGTGTATCAGCTGGGCTCTAACAGACAAAAACCTCTCTCTGGGTCTCAAAGAGCCCTGAGATCTGGGTGATGGGCATTATCTCCTGGGCTCCATCCGCCTCCTCAAAGGAGGACTGGACACAACCAAGTCCTATTGGCCAGTTACCTCTGGGCACGAACAGGCCAGGTCCTAATTCATGCAGATGACAGGAATGTGGTAACAAATGGTGTGTGTGTGTGTGTGTGTTAACCTAAAGGTGGATCTAATGCAACAGAGAGAGAAAAAGAGAGAAGAGAGAGTCTGTGGACACAGCCAGAGACTTTAACACAAAATATAGTTATAAAAGGAATAAAACAATCAGTAATTTACATAGATCATGTGATAGCATACTATGCTAAAGTGAGTAAGTATAGCCCAATTCTAACAGGTTGTTTTTTTGGGGGCACCTCTGGTTCTGACCCACTATGGTCCCATCACTCACCTCTCTTTTCCCCTCGGGGACACCGGGAGTCTCTTTATCCTCACAGAGCTCCACAGATCCCCGGTTTGAGTCTCCAGACTCTGTGTCCATGGGAGAAACAGCTTGGTCGCCCCCCCCCTCCCCGCCCTCCTCTGCTGGAGCCCCCTGCTCATCAAACCCTCCCGTTCCCTCCTGGTTTTCAGGCATTTCAGGAGTTGTTTCTTTGAGCTCTTGGGGCTCCCGATCCTCCACATTCCCCCCATTTTCCTCCTCTGTTGGAGGAACCGACTCCGGTTTAGCCGTTTGTTCTGGACCGGACACGGAGTCAGATTCAGCCTCCAGACTTGCTCCCTCTGAGTGGCCGGGATCAGACCCAGAACTGTCTGCCTGGACCTCCGTATCTGCTCTGAAAAGGCAAAAAAAATACACAGTAATTACTAAAGACTGATAAACAAACATCTACCAACTTGAAAAGAGTGAATCTTTATGATAAACAATTAAGTTGATGAATTTTAATATGATGTTTTTGGTTTTTTTAACGGTCAAACGGTTCAGTCAAACACAGTTAAAAAAAAGTCCCAATTCCATTATGAGGAGCTTGAGGTTTGAGAAATACAATTACATTTTTCTTTTTAAGCCAATCGGACAAAAAAAGAAAGAAAAAAGAGAGCTTTAAAAAGTCGTCATCTGCTTCTATGGATGTCTTTAACCCCGCCTCTTTGATTTTATCAAACCAACTAACTAACTAACTAACTAACTAACTAACTAACTAACTAACTAACTGACTGACTGACTGACTGACTGACTGACTGACTAACTAACTAACTAACTAACGATAAGCCGGTTAAAATAAACAGCCAGTCTCCAGGAAATCAAAGTGCCACAAGATAAATCATTATAAACTTTAACTTTTTGCACTTCCGATCCCGATCCCGGCCTATCAGAGCATGTGTTAAAGTTTAAAGTTATTTATCTACTTACTTAGTTGTCAGACTCATGTTGAACATGGATTTACTCTGATAACAACTTAATGGTTAGGACACAGACCTGTGGGTTAGGAGATGCTAATGCTAATGCTAATGCTCGAGTGGGATCGGATCTGGAGTCTGGATCTGCATTTTCTC